CCTCCTACCTCGGTAGCTGTGGATGCGGCGGCCCGTGCCGGGCGGCAGCGTCGGGTAGGGCTGCGGCTCGCCGTCGAAGTTGAGCCACACGGGCAGCACGACGCGCGGACTGCGGTTGCAGAAGATGACCTGGCTCGGCTCGCGAGAGTTCACCGAGCGCAGCACCGGCCGCGGCCGCCCGGCCTCCATCTCCCTCTCGGCGCCCGGCTCCTCCCGGCCGTACTCTTCAGGGCTGTACTCCTCGGCACCCGCCTCGGCCTCTGCCACGTTCCCCGCCTTCAGGGGCATTACCTCCCGGGGCCCTGACACCCAGGCGTCGCCCCCGCGGGATTCGCGGGCAGCGCGGGGCGGGGCGGGGCGGGGCGTACGCGCGCTCCCGGGCAGGCGTGCGTGCGGCTTCCGCGCGCGCTCAGTGGGGGAGGGAGTACGCACCAGCGGAAGCGGCCGGCCGGAGACTGTGCGCACGCGCAGGTGGATCCTCCAGTCACCAGCGCCGAATCCTCACTGAGGCGGAGGGCGGCGGTAGACCACGTGGTCTCTGGGTTTCTTCTATAAATAGGCTATTTTTCCCTCCTGTCAGTTTTTGACACAGCGTTTCTTTAGCTTCATTCATTTTCTTAAGACCTTTATGGTTTTTGCCGTATCCTCCCTACCATCTGCGCTATTATTTATTTAATAATTTTTTCATTAATCAAGTTCTGTCTCCATTTTGGGTCACAAAATTCATATTTTGTACAGAAGAATATAACAAAGTAAAAATTTTCCTCTGATCCCAGTTCCCTTAGCCACCCAGAAAGAGTCCCTGGAGGCAACAAGGATCACCAGTTTTTCATACTTCCTTTCAAAGGTATTCTGTGCATACACAAGCAATTAAACAAGTTTGAGAAGAAATTTCATACCACTGCCATCAATGGAAATTCATTATCACTTGCCATAGAAAAGTACAGTTGGGGGGCTGCTGGCCCTGTTGTGTAGCAGTTAAGTGCTCGCGCTCTGCTTGGAGGGCGGGGGGTAGCCGGCAAGGGTTCGCAGGTTGGGATCCCAGGCATGAACCAGACGCACCGCTTGTCAAGCCATGCTGCCCCAGCGTCCAATATAAAGTAGAGGAAGATGGGCACAGATGTTAGCCCAGGGCTAATCTTCCTCAGCAAAAAGAGAAGGATTGGCATCAGATGTTAGCTCAGGGCTGATCTTCCTCACAAAAAGAAAAAAAAAAAGTACAGTGGAACTAAGTTCAAAGAAAACAAAACAACAGTTGGTAAATATTTTTGTGTGTGTGTGAGGAAGACTAGCCCTGAGCTAAGATCTGATGCCAATCCTTCCCTTTTTGCTGAGGAAGATTGGCCCTGGGCTAACATCCTGCCTATCTTCCTCTACTGTATATGGGACGCCACCACAGCATGGCCTGATGAGCAGTTCGTAGGTCCTGCACCTGGGATCCGAACGTGCAAACCCAGGTCCCACCCCCACCCCCCACCGGGGCGGAGCACTTAACCACTAACTACACCACCGGGCTGGCCCCAGTAAATTTTATCCATTGTCTGTTAAAGGCTCTAAGCCTGCTCTCTCTTGGTTCAAAACCGTTAGCCAAGTGGTAGATGTTAGATGTCAAATGTTAGTTGTCAAACCAACTTTCTCCTGGACATAATCAGGGAGATTAAAGGAAAGTGCAAAGGGAGTAACTTTTTGCAAGCAGTTTGTGTGCCCTCTAAAATTCACACCCACCTGGGTTCTCATTCTGGGTTTAGATATTGGGCAAAACTCTAAATTCTCTGAGCCTTCAATTGCTTCTCATTGATTTTATACCCACCACCTCCAAGCCCAGGACTCCAACAGGCCTACCACTTACTGAAAATCCACCTGGTGGCCCAGGACAAAGAGGGACAAATGGCTACGCCGACAGACTAGCACTATGGCCCTAACATTTAAAACAAATGGCAGGAAGAAGGGAGAAATAGGCTTTTTTTGTTTTTGGCTACACTCCTGGGCAGCTGATCTCAATCAAATATGCAAATGAAGAGCTTTAGATTTATGATTTTCACCCATCTGAGCAACCTCTTTCCATTTTTTCCATTACCTGACAAGAAAGACTGATGCAAACTTTTCTCCATAAACCATATTGGAAAATGGCAACCTCATTAAAACGTGGAAAAGTTTATTTAGGATATGGAAATGAAATAAAAGTAAGGGGGGAAGAGCCATCAAATTGTATCTGTAGCATGATGATATTTATCAAAAATATATGCAGTTATTCCCCCCACACACACATTTTCTGGAATGTAGTTACATTACTTTTATAATGAAAACAACTAAATCAATTCTGAAAAGCCATAGAGGACTGGTGAAGAGAGAAAATTAATCAGACCCACTATGTGCAGAGTACTATGGTGAAAATTTGGGAAAGGAGATGTTTATTTCCGGGAGATTAAAACTACAAAGTATAAACACTCATTTCTTCGTTCATCCTGTAAATATAGAGGGCCTACTATGTGCCAGGTACTGTGCTAAGAATATTGCAGAGAAAGTCATGGTCCCTGCCTTCACAGCACTTCAATAAGAGGGTCACACAATAATCAACAATGGCACAAGTGAAAACAAAGTTGCAACTATGACTAGTGTAACAAGAGAGAGACCTGTGGTGGTATGGAAGGCTGGAGATCTGATGATCAAGGAAGATGGTATACAACTGTGTATTAAATGTTCAGTGATGTGGAACAGACTCTAAGAGGAGAAGCAGAGAAATAGCAGGGTTCAGAGGGTTTCATTTAGTCAAAGATGAACTTCAAGAAAGAAATCTAACAAGTGCCAGGCACAGTACTAAGCATTCCACACTCATTAAAGCTATGTCATTATCTCCAGTTTACAGCCAAGGAAATCGAAGGGTACATAGGGGTGTGAAGAGGGTGGTTAGAGGAGAGTGCTGGATCAGCAAGGTTCATCATCTGGTGCCTTGGGGGAAAAACGATGATATGAGTGAATCTAAGGAGTCAGACAAATCTACAAAGGAACTAACAGTCTGAACCTCTGTAATTTTGCCGTAGGCTCTCCTTGCCAGTGCATTATACAAAGAGATGGTGTATTTTGATGGCCTCTGGCAGGATTACATGACCAGCAGTGACGCTGGACCTCTAGCTATACTGAACATTAACAACATGGAGGGGCCAACCAGGTAGCGTAGTGGTTAAGTTCACGTCCTCTGCTTTCAGTCGCCCAGGGTTCACGGGTTCAGATCCCAGGTGTGGACCTAGACACTGCTCATCAGGCCATGCTGTGGTGGCATCCTGTGTACAAAGTGGAGGAAGACTGGCACAGATGTTAGCTCAGGGACAATCTTCCTCAAGCAAAAAGAGGACGATTCGAAACAGATGTTAGCTCAGGGCCAATCTTCCTCACCAAAACAAAAACAAAAACATGGAAACATTTGTGGAGGAAAACCCCAGGAAAAAAAAAAGGACTTCCTGTTAATAAAATTACAGTGGCTCAGAGCCATCATAATTCACAGGATTCATGCAAACACATCCTAATTTCTACTCCCAGGCTAGCGAGGTAAAACATACCAGTTTAATATTACAGAAATGCCTGCATCCCTAAAATGAGAGCAGTTGTTTAGATAAATGCAGGCCTTAAAATTGATATTGCATCACTGCAAATAATGTTTATAATAAAGATCATTTAGGCACAAGGAAAACATGTTTAGGATATACTAATAAAACTACAGACTATATTGTTCTTACAGACACTTTCCACTGTGCAAAAACAAACATGTAGAGAGGAATAGAAGAAAATGCACCCAAATGTTTTAAGACAACTGATGATTTTTTTTCCCTTCTACTTTTCCATCTTCTAAATTTTCTTTTAAGACAATATATTTTGCCTTGTTTATATTTTGACCAATTAAAAAATACAAAAGTACAATAACAAAGCTAAAACTGATAGTCTCACCATATAAAATTAAGAATATGTTGTCAAATTATTTCCCTTTAAAAAAAAAAAAAGAGCACAAATGATGAAGCAAAAATACCCTTTAATTAACGATGCTGGTCCTATTTCCCTCCTTCCTCCCCAGGGGCAGCAGCTATCATAGGTTTGATGTGTATTTATCCACGCTATGTTTTTCTAAATTTATTTTGAATTTACATATAGTAGAATTCACTCTTTGTGGTATATAGATCCGAGTTTTGACAAACGCAGAGTCGTGTAACCATCACCACAATCAAAATACAGAATATTCCATCAGCCCCAAAAACTCCTTTGTGGTCAAACCCTACCCCCAGGCTTACGCCTTGGCACCCACCGATCTGTCCTCCGTCCTTAACAGTTTTGCCTTTTCCAGAATGTCATATAATGGAATCATACAGTATGGAGCCTTTTCTGTCTGGTTTTTCACTTAGCATAACTCAGTTCAGATTCATCGAGTTGCAGTGTATATCAACAGCTTAATCCTTTTTAGTGCCAAATGGTATTCCCCATCAACTCACCAACTGAAGGACAATGAGTTGTTTTGTTTTTAGCAATTATGAATAAAGCTGCTATAAACATCTGCATACAAGTTTTTTTGAATGTTTTCATTTCTCTCAGGTGAGAATCATCCAGGAGGGAGATTGCTGGGTCATATGGTAAGTGTATGTTTAACTTCATGAGAAATTGCTAAACTGTTTTCCCAGAGTGGCTGTATCATTTTGCATTCCCACCGGCAATGTATGAGCCGTCCAGTTGCTCCACTTGTTTGCACTTCGTATTATCAGGTTTTTGTTTTTGTTCTATTAAAAAATTTTTAGCCATTCTAATAGATGGCATAGTGGTATCTCATTGAGGTTTTAATTTGTAATTCCCTGGTGACTAATAATGTTGAAATCTTTTCACAAGCTTGTTTGCCCTCCTTTTGTCTTCTTCCAAGTGTCAGTTCAAATCTTTTGCCCATTTCTTTATTAGGTTGTTTTCTTATTGTTGAAATCTTGATAGTTCTTTGTATATTTATCCAGGCCAATTTTTAATGCTTTTCAAACACTCGTGTGTACCCATAATCTACACATAGTGATGTTTTAACGATGGTAAAAAAAACAAAAAATTAAAATAACCAAAAACTAAAACAAAAACCTTGATTTCCACATACAGTTTTGGCCTCCAATATCTTTCCTATTTAATAAAGTTGACCTGCCTTGTTCTATGTGTACGTTTTTTGTGTTTTCCTGAGGTTCTTCTCCAAACGTCATTTTGGTGTCCTTTGGGAAAACAGAGTGAGTGCATAACGACTCCACTGTAAGCTCCAAGAGTAGAGACTATGTGTCTGTTCCTCACCATTGTATCTCAGTGCCTCACATACAGTACACGTATAATGTATTTAATGCTAACAAACAACTTCTTAGGCAAAATGTCAAAGCAAAATTGAATTACTTAACATTTATTAAATTGGAATATTTTACTCCTAAAAAAATTGTATTAATAAAATCTGTTTCACCTTATAATGCACTTATTTTCCATCTTTAAAGTCACACTGGGATTGTCACATTGAATGAGTTCAGATTTGAGGATAAAATAAATCTCAATTCAACAGTGTTATATGATGCATATATAGAAATTCTTTGTACTCTTCTTGCAACTTTTCTACAAGTCTGAAAATTGTTTCACAATAAAATTCCTTAAAAAAACATGTTATGGGTTGGGGGATGCAGATCCTGAATACCGGAAGGATGCAGATTAAGACATAAGACCAACCTCACACTTTGTAGTCTCAACAAGCCCAAAGGGGCCAAAGGAAACCCTGCCCTAGATTTTTCCCAAATGAAAATGTTGATGCCAATGGACACCACTTAGCTCAATGTGACAGACAACTGCCCTTTTGCTCTCTCAGGTTGTCAATGAAATCCAGGGAGAGGCTAGTAAGGGATAAGCATGGCACAGAACACTGACTTGGGAGACCCTGAACAGCTCTGCACTGATCCAGGAACAAGGAGACCTGGGCTTGCGTCTTGACTGTGCCACCAGGTAACGGGATGGGCATGTCACACAACGTATCTGGGCTTGGTTCTGCATTTTTCAAAAGGCAGGAGTGGACTAGATTCTCTCTAAAATTCTTTTTCACCTTCAAGTTCTGTGAGTTTTAGTTCTAGCTAATCCCAACCTTTGGACAACTAGTGTACTGGCTAGCTTTTCTTCAGAATAAACCTGAGAGCCCTAAGTCAACCTGATTTTCTTGGTGTAGGGTCCACCTGACAGCTACACTGCCTTTAGAAAGCAGCTGTATTTTTGTACGTTGACACTGTCTGCAAACTACCAGAGTAAGTCTCCTAACTAACATTCTCCAGAGCCAAGTGAGGGCAAAGCTTTTTTCGAAGACAACAGTAGGAAACTGAGTACAGATTGTGGGAAGGAGCCTAGAGATGAACAACAGGCTTTCCATCCCACCTAGTGTAGCCTACAGTAACAAATAACGTTTACAAACATGGCTTTAGCTTTGCGAGATAAAGGTGGAAAGTTTACAGTACTGAGTAACAAGAGCAAGACAGAATGTGGTACATCTCTTAAAGCCAAAAAGATCAGTTCCCTATTTCTTCCTGCTTCTGAAATCCAGTTTTAAAGACAGGTTGAAAACTGCTTTATTATCAAGAGATTTGTAATCTATCTATGCCTAACGGCTCAATGGTTCAAACCCCTTACTCCCTAGTTTTTCAATAAATATGTAAATTAAGCTAACTTACAGGGCAGAAAACATTTCCAAGTATAAGAGGATGAAGAGGTTCCTGTGAAGGCTCCTATGAATGGCTGAGAAGATTTCTCATACGTAGCTCATTTCCCACTCATGTTAGAAAACAGCAAAGTCCTTCATAATTATCCTTCTTCAGAAAGCATTAAGATTTCATGAGGAAAGAAAGAGAGGCACAATGTGGATAACTTCCCTATATTGTGTAACCTGGGAAGAAAAAAAAGAACTCAATTCAATTTTTCACTATGAGGTGACTGAGAACAATTTGGATTCAGAAAATCTGAGTATACTGAACCTTTCTAAAACTCAGTCTTCTTGTAGTTTAAATCCAAGTAACGATCCTGTCAACGTCTTAGTTTTGTTATAAGGATAAAATATTACAATGTTAAAAAAAAAAGAAACAACGATTTAGTAAACATAGATGAAAATGTAAAATATAGCTTTATTGTCCTCAGTGAGGGTGAAATGTTAGTCTATCAGAACTCTAACTGCATAAGTTGAAGAAGTGACACGTTGGGGACAAACTAAATGGTGGGTTAGGGTAACACATTTACGGACTGCAGTGACCTGAGCGCAAAGATGTGTATGACTTAAGGAAGCTGGAAGAAGTGAAACTAGACAATATAGACATCAACGCAAACAGTTTTGCCAGACAGCAAGAAAAACCACGAAGCCTTCTTTACAAAAGGAAGGTGAGGAGGCATATAACACTAACAGATGTGTAAAAGCGTAAAGAGTATCTGATGTGAGAATAGTGAAAGAGCACTGGACTAGGAATAAGAAAGAAAGTTTTAGATCTGGTTACACCACATGAAGAGTAGAACGGGTAGTCTGAGGCAGGTAGGTCTAGGTTCAAATCCTAGCACCTTCACTTACTTCGTATGTCTCTAAACTTGTTCCTCATCTGTTACATGGAGGTAAGAATGCCTACTTCTTCCAGCCTGAGGATTAAATGAAATGAAGAACACAAAACAGCACATCTAGCACACGGTCACACTCAATGAATGACAGACAGTCCTAGCTATACCTCGCTTCATTAAGCAGGTGCTAACCAGGGAAAGCACTCTGACGCCTCACAGTGCCAGGTAAGATGGAGGAGTGACTACTACTAGACAAGGCTGGGTTCACTTGTTTCCTACACCAAATGTTACCAATTGCTCTTTACAACCAGCAGGTTACCATTAGCAAGATGGTATTATTTAGAGCACTAACTTTTTTTAGAAATATTACTGTGATATCAATAAATTAACAGATTAGTATCTATAGGACCATAAAAAATATATCGAGCATTTTCACATTTAATCTCATTAAAGGACGGGCTTTTCCTGCTTATACAGATTACCATCACTGTTGCCCCTATTACCGTCTTACATTATAGTCCTTGTATACTGGAACTCAACAAAATATCTGTTAAATTGATGGCAGAGCACCAGATAATCCAAAACTTGAACTTCAGAAGTACTTCCTTCTCTATCCTGGAAAGGATAGGGGAGATATTATGAATAATGAACTCAAGTGACTGTTAAAAGCACTCTACAGGTGAGCTCAGTAATGTTCAAAAACAGCACTTACCAAAGTAAAGGATATCTGTTTTGTCTCCATTGTAAAACCCCATTTTTAAATGAAGGGACTACTTAAAAAAATGGTCTTCTAAAGGTCTGAGCAGGAGTTCTAAAAAGATGTGACAGTACAAAGCAGCTTCAGCTCTACAAGTCAGTTCAACTGGTACTTACTAACTACGTGCCTTCTGCAAGGCACCCAGCTGGGCAATATTACAGGAAAAGGCGCTCCTGCAGACACTAAATTAGGGAACAATGCATGACAAGATCAAACCCAGAGCTGAAGTGTAGTGTTAGCATGGTAGGATGGGAGGGACTGAGAAAAGGAAAAGGGCAGTGCTGAGTGAAAAAGTCAAGTCAGGAGAACTTCCTGGAGGAGGTCTGGCTTGAGCTAGACTTTTAATGGCAAGTACGATTTGAATAAGGGGAAATTAGTGTGTACAGAGCATTATGACTTCTATGTGACTAAAATGAAGATTCTATATAGGAGATAAGCCTCTAGAAGTAGGCTGGCACAAGTTCAAAGCAAGCTTTCAGTGCTAGAATGAAAAGTTTTAGAATCTTCTGTTTAAATTATTTGCTTTTCAAAAGAAGGAGATATTTAGCTTGTACCTTATAAAACTAATAGTCTGCCCTGGATTGTGGTTAAATTGTGTGGATGCTGGTATTTCAATAGACTGTAAGCAACACGCCTTGACTCAACATGGTATCTTTTATTGGAGCTTAATGAGCCTACACAGTAAGTACTTGGTAAATGTCTGCTGAATGACCAAGGGATTCCCAGGATGAATTAGTCAGCTCAAAGTCCAAATATGGGGGCTCCAACTGGTAAGCCACCTGGGCTTTGATCCAACAGCTACATCTGAAAGTTTTATGTTATAATAATAATCCCACACATCAGATTTCTGTGGAATAGATGAGTCCCATCTTTAGCTCCTCTCCCCACCATAATCACAGCAGTCAAAGTTGAGGAGTTTGTTAGGGAAATATGAGAGGCAAAGACATCCCAAGTGACAGAAAGAAAACTCTGAAAATGTCCCTTTAAGCCAAGTGGGGATCTGGCCTCGACCTCCCCAAAAGGACAAGAAACTGTTGGGTTAGCAACAACATTCTCTGGCAGCCACCTTGCCAGGAGGTGAGTGTCTCAGCCAGGACTGCCTCCCACCCCCCATCAAAGGTGGGGAGGAGACAAAGACTGTTTATAGAATCAATGCAGAGGCAATGAGAGCTGTAAGGAAAGTCTGAGAGAGAGAGAGAGAGAGCGGTGGGGAGGACCTTAACAAGGACTCCCGGGCTTTTGGCTTTGAATGCCTCAAATACATTGACAAGTAGTTCTACAAAATGTTACTGAAAAGGTAAAATGCCTAATGTTGTTTCCAAGAGCAACCCCCGGACCTCTCCCCACATGCCACATCACACTCTCAGATGTACACGGCAGAGCCCAAAGGCCACATTTTTGAAGGAAAGAAAAACAAGAATAAGCCCTGTTGCTCTTTAAGGAGAGAAGGAGGAGCTGACGGCTGCTGGAGCCTTTCCCACGTAGGCCTGTGTTCTGTAAAGCAACTTCCCAGCAGCAGCATGGCACAGTTCTAGGTGAGGGTCTCACCTTTTGTCACCTGTCAAAGGAAAACTGACAATTAGATAAATTCAAAAGGATAGGAGACAGGGCCGGCCCTGTGGCTTAGTGGTTAAGTGCACGTGCTCTGCTGCTGGCGGCCCGGTTCGGATTCCAGGCGCGCACCGATGCACCACTTCTCCGGCCATGCTGAGGCTGCATCCCACATACAGCAACCAGAAGGATGTGCAGCTATGACATACAACTGTCTACTGGGGCTTTGGGGGGAAAAAATAAATAAATAAAATAAAATTATCAAAAGGATAGGAGGGATCTTAAAAAAAAAAAAATCTTATTTCAGATCCTAAGTGATTGGGAGCAGTAGAAAAGACAACAGCTTTGGAGTCCCAGACACCTGGTGCCAATGCAGGCAAGGTACTTAACTTCTTTTTTTTAATTTAATTTAATTTTATTTTTTCTCCCCCAAAGCCCCAGTAGATAGTTGTATGTCATAGCTGCACATCCTTCTACTTGCTGTATGTGGGATGCAGCCTCAGCATGGCCGGACAAGCGGTGCGTCGGTGCGTGCCCGGTATCTGAACCCGGGCCACCAGCAGCGGAGCGCACACACTTAACCGCTAAGGCACGGGGCCGGCCCGGTACTTAACTTCTTGAAGCCTGTTTCTGCTTCCAGGTTTGTTTCAGCAATAAGAGGAAATATGCGTTCTCTCTTGCACAGCCATTGCCCAGCCTCATAAGGAAGCACCTTCCCACCATACTCACCCGTGCTTCAATGTACTCTATTCTCCGTTCAAGGGCTGTCAATTTCTCGTTTAGTGTTGCAAGTCTTGAACGACAAGACATATCTGGTAAAAGGAGACTGATGTTCAGGATTAATGTCATTCCAGACACAGACACACAGACAGACACACACACACACACGGCCCCTAAGCTGAAAAAGACGAATGACATATCATGCAGGGTACAAATGGGAGCAGGTACACAAAGCAGGGGAGTGGAGAGGATAAGGTGAGAAGTCTCTTAGGAGCACAGATCTGTTGAACTTCCTACCAAATGTGGTAGGGAGAGAATAATGGCTCCCCCAAGATGTCCACATCCTAATCCCTGGAACCTGTGAATATGTATCCTACACAGCAAAAGGGACTTTGCAGATGTGATTAAGGTTAAGGACTTTGAGATCCTGGATTATCTAGATGGGCCCGATCTAATCAAGTCCATAAACGTAGACGGGAAAGGCAGAGGAAAGGCAGAAGAAGAGATTAGAAACGTGAAAAGACCTCAACCTGCCATTGTTGGCTTTGAAGATGGAGGAAGGGGGCCATGAGCCAAGGTATTTGAGTGACCTTTAGAAGTTGGGAACCTCAGCTGACAGCCAGCAAGGGTACAGAGATCTCAGTTCTAGAGCCGTAAGAAACTGAATTCTGCCAACAACCCAATGAGCAAGGAAACAGATCCTCTCCTAGAGCCTCCAGAAAGGAAGGCAGCCCTGCTAACACCTTGATTTCAGCCCAGTGAACCAGTGTTGGGTTTCTGATCTACACAACTGTAAAATAATAAATTTATATGGTTTAAGCTGCTACATTGTGGTAATTTGTTACCGCAGCAACAGAAAACTAATACACCGGGGCTGTACAGACGGGCCATTGGCTCATAGGCAAACCAAGAGTTTCAAGAGAGGGGAAATAACAAGAGGAAGAAAATAATCTCAATAGGGACGAAAAGTGGAGGCCAAGAAAGTAGCAGAGACCATGGGGAGGAGGGAAGGTGCCAGTGTTTCTGAGCTCCCAAAGTCACATCACTACTGTGACTCCAGGAGCGTACTCAATGCTTCATCAAGATCTGCACAGGCCTTTCAGAACGAGAGAACACTTGGAAAACATCCGATTCCTGTGGAGCCCACATTCCAACTGCAAAATTCCTTTTCTTCCTTTACTTTTTGCAATCTTCTTTCACCACCTTACCCAAAATGAAACCTAGTTTTCCTCTAAAATACCTGTTCCTCTGCAAACTTCTCTAACAGAAACTACTTGACTATTCTTTCTCCAACTATTCTCAACATACAGGAGAAAAAGGTTTCTGGGCGTGAAAATTACTTCCTACCACCTCCTTCAACACTGTCGTTCAGTCATCTCTCAATAATCTTCACTTTTTAATTCTCAAATATCCACTCCCAGACACTCTCTCACTCAGTGACTTAACACAACTCACAACCTTCCTATCCATCCCTTCCCTGGCCGTTACGCAAAAGCGCTTCAGCACCCATTTTAACAAATCTTCCTACAGCCTGATCTGGCCTCGACTTTCATTTCATCATGTCCAAATCTTACTCATCTTACCTGTCTAAACATTCTCCTTCAAGCTTCAGTTCAAATTAGACATCAGAGGTCTCTGCCAGAAAGATACAATTCTCTCTCTTCTGTATTTACCTAAATGTTCATGGTTGAATTTCTAATCTGAAAGTTACACACTTGGTCTTAGGTTATCACTTCCCCCTTTGGATAACAGATTTAACAGACAAGAATGTTCACCACTATTACTTAGGAATAGTTTGATAAAGTATGGCATATTAATGATAGACTATTAAAACAGCCGTTAAAAACTACAAGTTTGAGGGGCCAGCCCGGTGGCGTAGCAGTTGAGTTCATGAGCTCCACTTCGGTGGCAGCCCAGGGTTCACAGGTTCAATCTCAGACCTACACACTGCTCGTCAAGCCATGCTGTGGCTGCATCCCACATACAAAATGGAGGAAGATGGGCACGGGGTTAGCACAGGGCTAGGATTGGCAATGGATGTTAGCTCAGAGCCAGTCTTCCTAACCAAAAAAGAATTACAAGTTTGAAAACTATTTAATGACATGAGAAAATGTTCATGCTACAAAGCCAAATGATATTTATGTACTTGTAATTTATAATTTATTATGTCTGTCTCTCCAGTAGAATTAGTTAATCAAAGACAGATAATGTCTCTTATTACTCTTTGTAACCTTAGCATCTTGCCTGGCACAGAGATGTTTATTGAAAAAAATGATGGATTCTGGTATGTCAGTCACAAAAGATTGACTCTACTGTGACTCCACTAATTCTACAAGTGGGGAAACCAAGGCCCATTTTGGATCACTGAAGGGACAAAATAGTAGCAGAGCTGAGTTCTGAAGCCAGTTCCCTCACTGGGCAGTATGGTACTCTTTCCCATCACACTGTCCCACCACACACAGCTATCATCCTTTTGAACTTCTAGGCCATAATTTATTCCCCACATCTCTTAAAATTTGCTTACAGCCCAACTCTTCCACTTTCTAGTTCTTTTTTTCTTTTTTTTTGGTGAGGAGGTTTGGCTCTGAGCTAACATCTGTTGCCAATCTTCCTTTTTTTGTTTAGGAAGACTGTCTCTAAGCTAACATCCGTGCCCATCTTCCTCTATTTTGCACGTGGGATGCCCCCACAGCGTGGCTTGAAGAGCAGTGTGTAGGTCCGCGCCTGGGACCTGAACTCGTGAACTCTGGGCTGCGAAAGCAGAGCGCACGAACTTAACCACTACACTACCGGGCCGGCCCCTCTTTTTTTTTCTTTTTGTTTCCATATTAGATCCTTTCCCACTCACCCATCTTCACTGCTACTCTTCTTATTCTTTTTTAAAAATAGCTTTATTGAGATATAATTTATACACCATAAACTTCACCTACTTAAAGTATACAATTCGATAGTTTTTAGAACAGAGTTGTGCAAGCATCACCATAATCTAATCGTAGAACATTCTCATAATCCCTTAAAAAAACCTTGTACCTATTAGTAGTCATTCCCCACTAATCTTTCTGTCTCTATGGATTCGCCTATTCTGGACATTCTTCATTCTTCTTTTTAATCTTGTTTTTTTAATCTGCTAGTGCTGCAGCTTCTAATTCCCAGGTCTAGCTTGAGTAGGAGCACCTCAGCGTCCTCCTTTTCCTGGATACACTGCCACTGCCAGGACTGCCCAACAGGTCCAAATCTCTTTCAGTCTAGTTTTTAGACGCTCAAAGGCACATCATGTATGCTCTTCAGTAAGACCATGAATGTTATCACTGACAACCTGTCATATCCCATAAAAAGAGACATGCCAAAATTATCTGGGGGAGTGAGGTGGTGAAAGGGAGGGTTCCTTCCTGGATGGCTGTTCTGTTCTAGCTCCGTCAATCTGGTAATGAATCAGAATCCAAGAACACCACTACCGTATGCTACTGGCCAACATAGACAAGCACTGTTGAGAAATATAAAATGTTCTACTCCAGAAACTTCACTCATATTTCAGATCCCATTAAATACATACTGGTTCAAACAAAACACTAGGAAAACATTCAGTAGCTGGAGAAATCTGAAACCAGAGTACACTTGTGTGTACATTATCAGCAGACTTTAACTGAAAATGCCAGACGTCCTCATCAGGGTGCTTGATGGTGCATGTACATTATCACTGCTGACAAATGTCAGTTACCAGACAGCTCTTCTCTGAACTCTTACTGCACACAGCCCTAGCCTACAAAAACCAACACTGACTTGTTCTTCAATTGTTTGTGCAGCTAAGTCTTATTTCTCCAACAAAATTCTAAATTTCTTAGGAGTGGCAACTATGTCCATTTATTCCTATCTATTCCTTTCTCACAGCATCTGACACCCAGCTGGGGTCACAAGAGGCATGCTAATTTGTTGGCCAAGTATAAAAACTGAGATTTTAAAATAGCCACATTCTCTATTTTTCTCTTTACACTTCTCTGCACATATCAGCTTTAGAATCAGGAAAAAAAGGGATAAAAATAAAAAGCTATCATTTGTGACAATCTATTCTTAGAAACTTCAATTCCAAAGTACAAAACAGGCCTAGTGTTAGGATGTTATTACTGCATTATGATCTGTGTTCCTCAGGTTCAGGTGGTCCTCCAACACTGAAAGAGAAAACCACAAAGAGATCATAACTCTACTCTCACCAGCTGGAATCACAGGGTAAAAGCTGTTCAGAAAGTCATTAGCTATCCTGAAAAACAGTTCCCTCTCCAAAGCACACGGCCCACACAGACTCTGGGCAGGGTAAGGATTGGAGGATTGCTGCCATTTTCAAAGGGCTCCAGATGGCCCCTAAAGTCCTATTAAATCTTTGCACCACCAAATCTTGTTATCATAAACACAATACAAGCCCCAGAGATATACATCAGAACTGAAGACTCACACTAAGAGCTTAGAATGGGAAAATACATCCCAAACATGCTCATCCTGAGTCATCTAATGCCAAGACAATGTATTCAAGTCTATCCTCATGATTTATCCAGTTTCTCAGCCTGTTGGTCCTTGTCTAAAGCCCTGTATCATGATGTTGCCAGTCTGCAGGAACTTGCCTCAGGTATACCTGACAGCTAAGTCACCTTGCTGTAACTTTTCATCTTGCTTCATAATTCTGTTCTTACTTATAATTAATTCTTCTTTTCTTTAAAAGGACTAAATTCCCGTTCTAAAAATCTTCAAAAACCACCTAGTAATTACTCCAAACATTAGGCTATTATCATCACTTTAAGGAAGAATCAGAGCTAAGTGAATGGAAGCCATTTCTTCTGGCTCCTTAGGATTGGAATTCTGTGTGTCTGCTTCCTCAGTCCAGGACTTGTTGGAAATCTCAAACAAAAAGAAAAGTCTTTATTCTCTTATCTGATCATAAAATGCGATTCACGCACATTTGATAAATTCTCAGAGCAGATATTTCCTTGCTTATAAAGCAAGAAAAGAGACATTTCTCTTCTGCAAATCCCAAGCTCAAACTCTTCAATTCTCGGTCAGTTTCAAAATTCACCCACTCTAAATTTAGTGGATCTGGTATGTCAAGAAGATTTATGTCAAAGATAAATGCATATGTATTAAAAGTTTATTAATACAAGTCAGTACTCAGAAATGAAATTTTTACACTGCCTAGATCCAAATTTGGGGGACTGAGATGCCAGATTACTTTTAAATTTTGAAAAGCAGCCCCAGTTTGACTTATTATTTCGGATGCTTTATTGATTGAACTGACATCCTCAATACTTTCCTTGGATATTCTGTGTGTACATTATCAGATATTAACTCCTACCAGATAAATGAAGTCTTTCAATTTTGCCTTTTAAAGCTAAAACTCTCCATGTCAGTGATTCATCCAACTCCTTACTCTGCCTCTCCAGAGTAAGCCAGTCTCAAAGCTGTGATTCTGTCATCATTCCATCCTTTCCCTAGCATGCAATATTTTGGTTTCCCTTATCTAGTCCTTCCTCTGAGGGAATGTTATGAATACAGAAGGTTGTGAAGAACCCCCAATAATAGTTTAGCTCTCTAGGAAAGCAGAAGAAACTAATTATGAGAACTAACATTGAAAGAGTTTGCACAGAACCTTAAAAAAAAAACAAAAACTGAGGAAACCCAGCCTATCTGAGTGGCAGGGTAAACAGGTCAGTATTTCTCAAATGTTTTCAGTTCATTAAAATCAATTAGTCTAGCCTCTTGGAACTTGAGTCTCCGGTCTCCAAAACCACTTATCTTTTTCACTAAACCATACTCCTTCACTCATAGTCCTCAAAACAGTTTTCCAGGATACATGAGATCTATGATGTCTTGACTACCACTCCCTACGACAACCTCTCTCGCAAGCTGTGTGTGTGACCATGTGTCACTGACATATATTTATAATATTCTCTTCTCTCCTCAATAGCACCTTCACCCCCACTCCCTGGTGAGTGAGGAAATCCACCACACCAAGACATGTCAGGATTATAATCCCGCACACTTTGTAGGTAAATATATTAATACAAAAACCATGTTCTGCTTTGTTCTGAAGCTGTGATTACTTCATCTTCAAGAGAGAACTTCTGTGAGTGCAGGAAACGGTTCTCATTCTGTGTTGCCCAGTGCCTGAGAGAGCGCCCTGCACTGACATCTAGTTTCTCCTGACGCTTTCTGACCAGACGCACGTTCTGTCACCTTTACCGTCCTGAGGACTCCTCAGTCCTCCAGCTAGAACATAACCTGTTTCTAAATCTTTCTATACAGCAGTTTCCCTTGCTTAATGTTGCTGAATTAGTGGAACAGAAGCACACTAGCTGGAAAAAGATAAGAAATGTCACCCCTACACCTTATGATTATGTAAGAAGGTCCACCAGTGCCCCGTCCTCTTAAGGAAACACTTGGAGAACATGGGGTTGGAGCCTCTGCTACACGCTTGCTGTCCAGAAGGAGACGGAACAACGCAGAAAGAAGTAGGCTGTGCCTAGGCAAGATTTTGCTAGAAGCAGACGGAACACCCACTGTCGGCTAGGTGCTAGCAGTACAGAGACTTCCACGGCCTTCCACGATCTGGACCTTACCTCTGACCCCATCTCCTACCTCTCAGCACAGCAAACGCGGCAGACAGGCAGGGACCGACGGGAGGGTGGCTGAAGGGGCGACGGAAAGGGGCTGAAGGGTCGACTCGACGCTGAAGGAGACGGGGCGCCGTCACGCCTTTACACGGCCGCGGCTGCGTTCTGGAAGGCGCGCTCGGCGCAGAGCGGGAACGGGAAGGGAAGCGGGGCACAGAGGAAGAGGGGAGACCACCGACGAGAAGAGAAGACACAGAGGGCGGACAGGGCTGCCTGACGCGGCCGGGAAAACCAAGGACTGGTTAATGGATCGGGGTGACGCAATGAGGCCGACGAGCTCAACCGGGGGCAAGATTACCCCACAGGGACTGCCCGGTGGAGCCTAAGGGTCAGGGCGAGAGGCGGAAGCTGCAGCCTGAAGGAGAAAGCGAAAAGCGGCCGGTGCCGAGGGCGCCCAGAGAGCCCCGTCAAAGCTTCTCAGCGTCCCCGCCGAACGGCCTCAGAGACCTCCCTCCGTCTCGCCTCCCCTGCTCGCCCGCTGACCGAACGAGTTGAGAAAGTCCGCGATTTTCTTGATGCTGCTGGTGATGACCTCAATGTACTCCCGGTTCGCCCAGTCCTGGTGAATCTCCCGCTGCACCGGATCCTCTTGTCCCGCCATGGCTGCCGCCTAAGGACGAGCGACTGCGCAGGCGCCTCGACCCTACAGGCCGCCAGTGCGCCTGCGCCGCCAGCCCACGCCCATCCCTAGGCACTCACGAATCCGCAGGCATTGTGGTGCGCCTGCGCGATGTCACGTCCTGGACTGCGGTTCGGCTCTCCTCCCACGCCCCTGAAAACAGTCGCCTCCAGCCCGGCGAGGAGAATCGAGTGCGAGCGGGGAGGCAGCCACCCCTCCTCGCCCCTTCCCCCCTGGATGCCTGGCGTTTATGGGCGTTAGAGGGCGCTTGGGCGCGCATCACCCCGTCCCTCAGCTGCTTTAAACTAAGGTTGCGGTCTGTGTCAGCGATGAGATGCGTATAGCAGATTAAACCACATTAAATACGTCATTTAAAAAATGTCTCTCAACAACACAGCATGATGTCGCAGCCTGCACTTATCAAATGAACAAAACGTTGTGTTTTTTAAACGTTAATACCCAGTGATGGAGGGGCTAAGGGGAAATTGATAGGCTGGCAAATAGTTGGTCACACTGTAAACTGGCACAGTCCCTTCAGAAGGAAATTTGTAAATTGTTAGCAAGAACTGTAAAAATTTTCAAACTTTGACCTAATCATTTCATTAAGAAAATCCTTGAAAAAGAAAAAACTACTTAAAGCACAAAGGTGCTCTTTGTAGTATTATCTATTAAAAAACAACTGTATCTCAATGGATGGTATAACCACTTAACGGCAATATGCAGTCATTTAAATGCTAATTATGAACACTATGGCAACATAACACATCATAAATTGAAGGGAAAAACAAAATACAAATTTTTCTTTAATTGCAACTATGCAAAAATTCTGCTTGAGGACAAGGAGGATATACCAAAAATGTCAATATCAATATCTGGCTTGTCAAGGTAGTGGAATTATGGACAATTTTATTTTTGTTTCAGGGAATATTTACAATCTGCTTTGTCCAGTAAATGCTTTTTATTTAAAAAAAAAAAAAATATATATATAGCCAAACAGTCCGTTAGTACTCCAGTAGAAGATTTTACAAGCTATAAAGCTGCTTTTATAGCTTTTACTTCACTGGACCTTCACAAACCCTGTGGAAGGAAGTCAGGAAGAGGTTTCCCATTTTACAGCTGAGAAAACTGAAGTTCAAGGTCACACAGCTAATTAAGTGGTAGACCTTCACCAGCTGCTTCCAGACTGCATTATCTTTTTACTGTACCACTCCGAAAACAGGTTAAGGTCTGAATTCTATGTTTTCATATAAATTATTTCTAAAATAATAATAAATATCGACCCTAAATGTCGAACCCCAGGCATCCAGAAGGCTCTCTGCCATTCAAGACTCAGCTTCCTAAGTGATGCTGTTGAAGCAGTATTTTGCTCACCACGTGTCACAGAGAAGTCAGATAGACCTGCTTTTCCTTTAATGGTAGGGCATCTCAGTTTCAAATCCTAAGTCTACCATAGAGGAGTCACTTCACCTCTCTGAGCTTTGGTTTCTTCATGTATAATACAAGAATAACAACATGGATGGGTTAGGATTGTTGGCAGAATTATGTGAGAAAGGATAAATAAAACTCTAATAAGCACAGCGCCTGACTCCTCACATCAGTTTACATTTTTTTTTTTTTTAAAGATTTTATTTATTTTATTTTTTCCCCCCAAAGCCCCAGTGGATAGTTGTGTGTCGTAGCTGCACATCCTTCTAGTTGCTGCATGTGGGACTCGGCCTCAGGATGAACGGAGAAGTGGTGCCTCGATGCGCACCCGGGATCCAAACCCGGGCCGCCAGCATCGCAGCGCGCGCACTTAACCACCAAGCCACAGGGCCGGCCCCAGTTTACATTTTTTTATACAGAAAGCTAAATACACATATCCACCATTTTTTTTTTTTAATAACTAGTGGTCTTCCATGGACAAGTCAGGCCCAGCTCTTCTTTTGCTTGACTTCCTACACACCTGTTCCAGATCTCCCCTGTAATTCCAAACAACTCAAGGATATGGTGCTATCCCAGAGTGAAGAATGTTCCTGGACTTCTGGAGCTTGTCCCTAAATGCCTCATGGGACTTGCTGTCAGGCAGTCTTCCAGTAAAGGGTTTGCCAGTGTGGTCCTTCTTCATTGTAGAAATTGTTTCTGATGTGTGATGCAGGGTTGCAGAGGCAAGATTCAGGAATGCTGCTGGTGCAACTACAAGTGCTTCCTGTGGCAGATTGCCTCAGCATGGGGGAATTAAGTCCCCGTTTTCTCTTTGAGTCCATTATACGCTTCATGGACCTTGGGGATCTTGTCAATGACTCCAGGGATAAGAATCCGCATGGAATCAAATTCTTGAAGAAATGTGTCAGTTGCATTAATCCTGGTCATCTGAGCCTCCTTTGCAATCATGTGCACTTGGACCATCATTTACACAGTTACGGATATGGCGAGTGCACCACAGCAACATTGTTGTCTGCTTTGAAAGCACCGAATTGGCTCTTGGCAGAGGGAATGTGGATATTGTCACAAGAATCCCAGAGCAGGGCAACCAGATTGTTGAGTGCTGCATGATACAGACCCAGGTGATGTTGTAGGACATCAGTAATGTGTAATATGTGAGACTCCGGTTTTCCATGTGTGCGTGATAGCCATGGAGCTGGAATATCACACTCACAGGTGATGGCAAATGGTACCATTTGCTGCACAGAGGACTGTGGAGCAGATTGTCATGACAGCATGAAGCCCTCTCTATCCAACAATGTTTAATTATACAATTTTGCTTTGGGGACCTTCATAAAAAAACACAATTGTGCAATAAAAACTACTGTTGTATTTGTTTTTTTAAATAATAGGTATCTCTTTAGTCAAGAGGAAAATAAAAATAAACTTACTGGAAAAAGAAAGTATTGTAATTCAAAACCATTTTACTATCTTCCAAGATTCATCATTCTCTGCCCCTCTCTCCATTTTCTGACTCCCCTCCCCCCCAGACTCTCTCGACTTACCTCTCCTTCCACAGAATGGGCATCTGACAATTCTTGACAAGTCCCTCAAGATCATCTAGTCTTCCAAACCAGGATCTCAGCCCAACCCCATCCGCCCTGCCCCCAGTCTCTCCCCTTAAACTTCACCCACAGAGCCAGACAAAAGGTGACAGCTCTTACGTGTGCTGTGTTCTACAGTTCTCAAAGTGCAAGGCCTCTTTCTGAGTGTATGAGAGAAGGGCAGGTGGGCCATTAGTTAATTCCTCCCACAGATACTGCACACTGCCAGGAACTGCCATAGGCAGGCACCAGGGATATAGGAGTCAACCGGGTAGACCTCTCTGCCCTCAGCTGTGCAAAGTAATCATTCGCAGTGATGCTTACAAAGTTGTCAAATCACTCTTTCACTATAGTGAAAGGGTCAGTTTTTCAGCCTTGTGAGAATGGGACAGCATCCTCCTTTTTGAGGTTAAGCAGAAGGCAGAGAAAAGTTTTTTTTTTTATGTGAGCCCACACCACAGCCTGGCCACTGACAGACGAGTGGTGTAGGTCCGCAAGGGGAACCAACCGGCCTGCTTAAGCGGTGCATGCAGAACTTAACCACTAGGCCACTGGTGCTGGCCCAGAGATAAGTTTTTTTGGTCAGGAAGTCAAGGGGAGACATATATCTTTCTTCATGCTCTTGACAGGCAGGTATTTATAAATAATCTTTGTACTGGGATCATTCCAGTGCAGCCACAAAGGCCTTCAAAACTCTGGGTAACAGCCTGAATACTCGCTGAGCGCGGTTTAATGAGTAGAAACTAACTTGTAACACTAACTACAGGTCCCGGGACCTTTATGCAGGTTTGTGACCTTAGCCTTTGAAGGGGGTCGTCCTCTGTAACTAGATCAAATGCACACAGGTGTGGCGGGGTGAGGAGGCGGAGGAAGGCGGCGGACGCGCGAGGGGGGGGGCGCGGTGTGTGTGTGTGAGATAATGGAGGGGAATGGAAGGGACGGGATTCGAACCAGCACTCCTTAAGGCTGAGTCCTGGACCGGGTGTTCCAACGTGGCGGGGTGAGAAGTCTAGCCCTAACGCCCCCCAGCGGGGCGCCTCGAGCCCCCACCCCGCGCCGCGGCTCGGGCTCCCCCGCGGTCCTGGATCACAGAGGCCGTTGCCAGGCGCCCGGTGGAGCAAAGATGCGGTCCGGGAACAGCAGCCGCCACTCTGGAGCATTCGTCTCACGGAGTTCAGCAGGTGAGCCCCCGGCCCGGATGGTGAGACGGAAAGCGGGCTCCCACCGCCACCTCTGTCTTGTCCAGAGCCGTCTGGCCCCCGCCCCCGGGTAGCCAAGCCCCTTCTTCGGGCTGGGAGAGGAAGCCTCCCCCACTCCAGGCAGCTCCAGCCCCTCGGGGTCACAGTTCACGAGAACCTCAGCTGCACTTTGACGCTGCCTTCCCCTTTCCCAGGTGGTGAAATCGAGGGACCCAGTTCCTTGGAACGGGAGGAGCAGTATGAAGGGGAAGCCCTTTTAGCCAGGAGAACCAGGTGTTCCCCGTTTGGGAGCTATTAGAGCAGCTGGAACAACTTCCAGGTTCAACCTCTCCTGGAGTGGATGCGGGTGCCTTCTGGGTGGTGGGAGTCGGAGTGGGGTGTGGCGAACTATTTGTGTGCAAGTGGTGGAAAGACCTGGGGTCAGAAGCCCTCTCTCATCCCGTGTTGGTTCTGCCAACTATTTAGGCAGGACATTTGATAAAGCCTTTTACTGCTGGTCCTATTTCCTCTTAGGAAAGGAGACAGGAAAGGCTCCTAAGATTAAGTACTTATTTTATACTAACCAGGGGCCGGTCTTCTGGTTTCAAATGTCACACACAATTCTTTAAAAAAAATGAACTTTGTCTCACAGCTATGATGGAGGTGTCAACTTTTCACAGCACTTCCTGGGCAATTACTGGATGCGATGGGGTGACATCTGCTGCCGTTACCTTTTGTGGGAGATCTGCTATGCCCCTTAACATAATAAGTAGGTGCTCAAAAATGTTAGCTTCTCCTGAATTCAGTAAAACCCTTTATATACTGGCAATTTTCAGGTAGAATGATGGAGAATCCAAATTCTACTTGGATAATTTTGAGTTAGCAACTTCTTCTCAGCCGTTTATCTTCAAAAGGGGGGAAAAAATCAAGTTCTTAACCAGTGGGTCTCCCATAGATAAGAAAATGAAAAACAGGGGCCGGCCCAGTGGTGTAGTGGTTAAGTTCGCCGCTCCACTTCTGGCAACCTGCGGTTTGCAGGTTCAGATCCCGGGCGTGGGCCTACACACCACTCATCAAGCCAACACTCTGGCAGGCCTCCCACATAAAGTAGAGAAAATGGGCACAGATGTTAGCCCCGGGCCAATCTTCCTCAGCAAAACAGGGGAAGACTGGCAGCAGGTGTTAACGCGTGCGCACACGCACGCGCGCGCACACACACACACACGCACACCAGAACATGCCCTGAAAAACCAGAAAAATCTTTAAGAATTTTTAAAGATTGGCCTTTGGAAACATTTTTCCTACCAGCCTGGTGTAATTCCTCTGAGGTGGTACATATGTAGCCCAGGTGTCTGAGAGAGCTGCTCCCTTGTCTCAGAAAAAGAAGTTTTTAGGGCCAAGAGGCGACTGTCTCCATAATTAAGAATAGTGAAAGCTGAAGTTCCTTAAAAGGAACAGCACAAGTTTTTAAACTATTTAAGGTACATCAGAATCCCCTGGAGGGTTTGTTTAAATGCAGATTGCAGGGCCCTACTCCCAGAGTTTCTGATTCTTTGGGTCTGAGGTGGGGCCCCAAGAGTTTGCATTTCCACCATGTCCCAGATGATACTAGTCTCTGGATCACACTTGGTGAACCACTGGTGTGAAGTTCATGGGATGTAGTCACAAATAATTAGCAAGACGTGGCCTTTCTTGAGCTTCTAACCAGAAATAACAAGGTCTCATCATGAAGTGCCAGCAGCCTCTGCCACCTCAGAGGCACAGATTCTGTCCTGAGCAGTTATCAACACAGCATAGGTCCTAGTGGTGAACTGGGATGCTCCCTTTGGACAAATCCATTTCTTCATCTGTACAATGGCTTAAAACCTACCTTCAGAGGCTTGTGATAAGGTTTAATAAAGTTTTAGTACACATAGCAGTTTCCAGATTCAATACTTGTTACCATCCCCTACTGCCCTTTATAGAATTAATAGTACCCTAACATCTATTGGAATCTGTTCATGGGAATGACAGAGTAAGTTAGTCAATAATGAGGCAAAGAAATGTGAATTTGAATGGCCATGCCTTCACTAAAAGCATGCTAGGCAAATTCCACGTTCTGATTTCTCTCCTTTAGGCCTGTCAATGGCAGGATACCAGCTCTGGTCACCGTGGTCCCCACTGGACGAGAGCCTCCAATGGCTGCGGCACACGACACCTACACCTTCTTCTAAGCACCCCTTTAGGGCTTCCCTCTGCTTCTCACACACTCCTTATCTTGAAGTGCAGCCGTGCTTTCAAGAGGTCCCCCCAGTCCTAGACAGCCCATGCCGGGAGGCTGGGGTGAGTCCTAAGTTACCCTGCCACACATCAGAGCTCCAAACTATGAACAAGAAAGGGCTGCTCAGGAAGCCCCAGCCCGTCCGCCTCAGTGGAGTGGATTCAGTCTTTGGCAGGATCATCACGGCTCAGCCACCAAGGTGGACGGGGACCTTCAGAGTTTCAGAAAAGTCAGCCTTTTGCAAAATCATCAGCCAGGAGCAGAAGTGGCCCACTGGATTCAAGGAACCTCAGATTCAGATGTTAATGACCATGTGCAAACAGATGCTGCGCTCTATGCTCTTGCTGTATGCAACATACAAGAAGTGCACCTTTGCCTTGTACCACTCCAAGTAAAGGGTCCCCATCTGATTCCTGTTCCGCACACCATACCCTTTGCTATGTGCCTGAAGCTTACAGAAACCTGTCCATGTAAATAAAACTGTGACACTGCCCCAGCCATCTTGCTTTTCTGTCAAGTGGTGACAATTCAGGAGCCTTCTCCTCCCTTCCCCTCCAAAAAAGGGCCAGTGACAGAGTAAGGGAGAACATTCCCACTGTAAAGTTGAACAACCATTTAAAAGAGAGTCAAACTAGCAGTGACAGGTACATGTGATAAAGAACCATTAAACAAACCATATAAACCAATGAGGCTGGTGTGAACTTACTTCAACACCTAAGACCACAGTGAGGTGGGGAAACAAATGGTGTCAAGGAAGGAGATTATGGAGTTCTATGTGCATGAGGATGAAGGGGTCAAAAATCTATATGTGGGTCAAGGATTAATTTAAAAAACAAATAACCTCCCCCACCAAAGCAAGAACAAAAATCCCAACCAACCATACCCTAATACCACTGGAGAGTACAACAGTGGGTAGAAATATTAACAAATATTAAACAATATTTAAAACCTGGCAAGAAAGAACTAGGTAACAGCACTGAAATTGGGCTTTCTGGCAGAAGACATGAGAACTCCCCATTTTAGCTGAAGTGTACTTGTAATGTTCTATTTCTAATAAACTACAAGTAATTTTGTAGCATTCTTGTAACTAGATTATAGGGATAACTCAGAAAAATGTGGAAATAAAGTAAACATTGTATATACAAAGTCAATATGAGTTCAGTGCTGCCTTTTTCCCCTTTGTCTTATATCTACATGATGACCAAAAATAAAAAAAAAAGCAGCCAACATATTGCTTTTGATTCAATCTTTGGGGATTGATAAGAAATTCGCCACTCTTCCCAAAAGATGACAAAGATCTTCTCATCTCAAGCAAAGATAGTCCTTATAATAGGAAACAGATGATTTTGATTGTTAGAACTGATGTGGTGGCATCGGTCTCCATTATTTCTCCACAGAAACCCTAATTCAATTCCATCTAATCCTTGAATAATGAAGGAAATCTAGAAAGAGGAATGAGGTAGCTGAGGCAGAACCTAAAACAGAATTTATCTATAAAACTGGTAGAAGCCTAAATTCTAGAATAAATCAGAGTTTTAAAACTAGTTCCCAAAGCCCAGAATCATGACCACTCTGCAGCACAGCACTGCTACGTTTGCCCAAATTGAAAGTACTGCTACATTCAAATTCTGAGCCAGGGTCTTTGATGATGTTAGACAATCTATAAAATCCACAATTAAGTTGATTCAATAAAGCCCCCTCTTTAAGGACAAAATAGGATGCTTCCAGTTAGAAAGGCAGAGAGCAGATATCAAACCCTGCACATAAAATGCTAAGAGGATGGCAGAGATGGAGAGGTCTAATCAGAGTCGTCATCACTTGCATCACTATTGTGCTCCTTTTCTCCATCACTTGCTTTATCTTCTTCACCACCCTAAGGGGCAAAGGATAATCAAATATTTTAGGTAATCTGGAAGACTCCATGAATTGCTATGCTGGCCTCAGAGGATATACAACTGTACTGTATCATTGTTAAAACCAATGATAAGTTTTAAACCATTCCTTTGAAAAATGAATCAGAGGCTCCCCCATTCTTCTTGTATCATGACCTCTAAGCCAAGACAATGAAGGGAGGCCATTTTGATACGGACTTAGGCCATTCTGCAACTGAACCAAATTTGCAAGATTTTTAAATAAGCCATGGCCCTCCAGCTCTATTGCATGTATGTGACATAGAAACAAAGTGGGCATTCAATATAGAACGAAATCTTTGTTAAATTAAAAATTCTGGTGTATTTCAACTGGAATCCAGCATAAAATTCTCTCTGGTCTATAACTCTAATCTGGGAAGTTTGCTTGGGACAAAGTACCAAACTCATAGGATACTGTCTGCTTCAAAATTTTTTATGAGAACAAGGTTCAGGTCTACTATACAAATAAAACAGAAGGCCATGTAATAAAAGATTTTTTTCATACTAAATGATCTTTCTGCATCAGCCTCACATTGCAGTACAGAGAGGCTCCACAGCAGGCATTCTTAAATCTGAGCTTCTTGGGGTCCATAACCCACCTGAACTGTAACGAAATTTTACAAACATACACATTTTTCTTTAGCTTTCTTTAAAGCCTGGAAAACATCTGTAGTAGCCCAGAAAAGAACAAGAACCCCTACTCTTATTTTAGTCCTCAGTGGTGGCAGCTTTTGATTCTGTGCTTTGGCTCTCACATTTCTATTTTATATATTCAAACATGTTTAAATGGTTTAACTCATTCTTCTCAACATTTGGAGAACATTTTGACCTCTTCTTTTCTCTCCTCTAAAATGGTTTCAGATATGAATTCAGGGAAAACAGGGGACTATAATGGAAGGGAATTTTCAACTCACTAACATATGCTACAACCTGAGATACTCAAAGGTGATTATAAGATCGTGTGGGTTTTTTCTGGCCCCCACTGAATTCATATAAGCGTAGAAGCTTTTCTGGAGGTAATGGAGAAAGGCATAGAAGTATTTGATTATAAACATAAGCAGGAAAAGTTCTGCACTCTCTGCACTCAGAATAATTCACAAAATGCAACCATCAGTGCCTCATGCAGAGATACCTCCGTTGCTTTGCTCTTGGAGACCTGGGATGACGTATCATCCCCAATGTCATCTGCTGTGCTCTCCTGGGAATTCTGGGACATAATCTCTTCGCCCTAAACGTGGATGGGCCAAGACAAACGGTGGGTTATAATGATCACATTTGGGGTATCAAGGGGAAAAAGGCTTAGTTTACAGACAATACAAAGGAAGATATTCAGCCATTCAAACGTGGTCAAACATGGACACCAACCTGTGATCCAGCGTCTGGAGAAGTGATAATCAACCCAAGGTTTCTGAAATGCCTGTGGCTCTGATACAATATGGAGTTTTACAAAAGGTCCATCTTTGTATTCTAATATACTAGATTTTACAAGGCCAGATTGTATTGGTGACTCTTTCAGTTAATGCTGAATATAGTTCCAAAATTTCCCAAATACCTTAAGGTACATGAGCATGAACACACCAACCATGAATGGCCAGGTAGAGGCTGAAGGATGGTATACTAAAGTGACTTAAGAACATCAACTTTGGATCAGGACTGTTTGGACTCAAACTCTGACTCTACTCGTTTATTGCTGAATGACTTTAGGTAGTTACTTAACCTCTCTGAGTTTCAATTTTCTCATGGAAACAATAGAATCTACCTCATAAAATTGATGTGAAGAAGGGAAGCTAATTCTCTGGGTTGCTGTTCTTTTCATATATAAGATTATAAAACTCAGATATTGTAAGCATGAATGAGAAGGGCTTGAACCCCATTTGAAAAACGTTGTAACTCCAAACTAGTTGTATAAGCAACATGAGATTTCAGCCAGTCAATCACACAATTGAAAGAACTTAGAAATGCTCATTTGTTAAAACTACCCAGAGAATAATTTCAGAAATAAGACACACTGGTTTAGGGGAAAAAACCCAAAATAACTAAACAAAAAAAAAGTTATCCATATACAAAAGTGTTATTAGGAATCTACCCTCAGTGGGGCTTCAAGGCACCCCTCTAGATCTTACTGAGCTCGCTCCTCTGCCTCTGAGGCCTTGTTTCTATCAATGGTATGTTTCGGTGCTTCACTGCCTGGGATGAGGGGTGCAGCCTGTGACCGGGGCCCATAAGCAGTCTACCCTAACTTTAAGAGCTAAACAGCCACAGACTTAAGAGGAAAACAGTCTCATTGAGAGAGCAGGGCTTAGGTGCCCCCCGACATACTTTCCAATGTTCTCACAAAGAATGGGAGTAGATTATTGCTGGCAGGGCCCCAGACTTACCTGCAAGTCCCGGTTTTTGAGATTGCCCAGCCAGAAAGCCTCCCTGCAGTTGTTGAGGACGAGCATGGCTTTCACTCTGCAAACTAACAGCTCCAGGGTCTTTTTGAGCAAAGGCACATGTTTGGTGAGTTTCGTGTCCTGGTGAATCTGAATGGAAACAAATGCACCCAACTCGTCTGCATTTATCAACATGCTTTCCTGTTTCCTGAACAGAAACTTTGAATTCCTGACATCTTGAACACCGAATAGGAGCATAAACCCTGCCAGTATAGGCCCGAGACACGCTCCATCACACAGCAGTAGTTTGGCAGAGTACTCCGAAGAGAATGGCAGCCATCCTTCAA